TCTAAGAAAGTAATGCATTAACAACATGGTGATGTTGTTTATGCAAATCTCATTTCAATGTTATAATAATTTTTCTAATAATATTTTAATTAAAAATACTATAATTGGCAATAAAATATTATATTATAACTATAATTTATTTTCAATATTGTAACTATATATCTCTTTTATGATTAAAAATTTATGCTTTAAATCATGACTTATTAATAGATTGAGAATAAAATCGAAATAGCTAACTACATAATTTTGATATATTACATATTTACACTTCAAGAATAGCTCTCAGTTTATTTAAGGTAATAAAATAAACGTCCTTAAGATCAAATCATCACATACTGCACATGAAACTTAAATTAAAAAATAGGGAATTTATCAACCTAACTGAATTGGTCAATTTTCTCATATAAAATATTTTATTATCCAAATGAATTTACATTTTACTAAAATATAACCAACTCTTTTCTTTCTAGTATTTAACATTATTCTGTCACCTGATTTGTTAACAAATTAAATGGTATTTACTTCCTAAACCATGGACAAGATCATTTCTAACATGTGTAAAAATTATCTCACAACGGAGCCACATGTCTTTAAACTATAAACATGCAAAATTTAATATTAAAGGTCTGATTTGAAACCTTACTAATTTTAATGTTATTTTGCGTGTTAAAATCACACCACTCATCTAAAGCACATTTGCTTTTATGACATGTACAACACCCCCTAGAATCCTTTATCAATTAACAATCAAAAGAAAGACTTTACACAATGTTTCTCTTTATTATTCAATTAGATTACATTTTACTCATAAAGAACAGGAATCAAAAAAAGAGTTGCCACTTCTTAACTAAAAGAGGAGGCCGTCCACCAATTCAACCATTGATTGTATGGCTGTATATATATATTTTAAAACTTTCTATAAAGACTCCATGATTTGCATATCCATCTTTGTGGCCCCAACATAAGTTCTCCCCACTACATGCCCTTTCAAATTCACAAAAAAAAAATGTCATCCAATCCTTGTCATGTGCCCCTACTCACATACAAAATTATGCACACATAATACCCATGTTTTGATTCCATCTCACGAATCCACACAAAAACAAGTAAACAACTAAAGAATATAAACAATTAAAGAGCATGAAAAGGGAACAAGCATAGGACAAAGGGATGAAAGGTATGCACAAACAATATGTGGATGAGAAAATAGTTAGGGCTACCTTTCTGGGTTCCTTTTTTGCACTTGCTGCCCCTGACAGGAACCGGGCAGTGCAGCGGGCAGGAGAAAGTTTTTGACCGCCCGGATGACGTGGTATCCTTGCTGGCGTTTCCCGCCTCTGGAGGCTTTCGTCAATGGAGGGTCGTCGTGGCCGTTGGGTCTTCCCCGCTCAAGCCTCCCCTCGATACTTTCCCTTTAAAGCTAACCCTCACTGTAATACGATTACGAATACGAATAGTCTTGTATATGTTGTGGTGCATATATGTATTTGCGCAAGCTTCAACTGCAGTCGCATTGATCAGGGCGCCATAGCTCGCACTCTAAGCTTGGAGTGTAGATTCGGGGGAGGCGATAGTGGAGGCATCGAGGTAGTTAGTTGCTGAACGGCGAAGTGGTGCCTCCGCACATGTGTAATCCCCACCTACTTATTTTATTTTATTTGGCAGTTTGTGGCCATACCTGCATTGATGACCTTGGTGAGAGGGGCTTTCGTTGGATATTTTGGTCCCGTGTTGCTGGTTTTTCTTGCTTTGACCGTAGACTGCATCAAATTGGTCGAGCTTCTTTGCCACTCGCATATCCTATTTTTGTGCAGGATGGCGAAAATAACACCACATGAACAATCTTCCAAGACTGAAACATCGGGTCTATTCGGAGGATGATCTCTTGAATTAGGTCATTTTCCCCGCTTGCTCCACGACTTCCCTCCATAGTGGCGTCATAATGCAGCCACTAGCTGTGATTCAGGGCTGATTGAGCCTTGGGTTATGGCGAGCACAGGGATGCGTAGTGGACATGAAAGGAAAATGGAGCTCGTCTAAATTGGAGGTTAAATATGAAGGTGACGCACAATCCGGTTGCAGAACCCTTGAAGCCCTTTTTATATGCATAAGCGTCGTGCCCTAAGATTTGTATGGGCTTTTGAGTTTTACGGAGGCGGCTGTGGTTTAGGGTGACATTATATGAGATCGGTTCCAAGCTTTCGTTCGAATCCATGGAGCGGATTAGAAACAGAATAAGTAAAAAATCCACGTACTTTTCCTTAAGAGTTTGCTGAGGGATTTATTAGGGTTTGATGAGACCATGGGAGCATTTCCTACAGTTTACTCGCGTCACTGTTCCACTATCTGTCTCATGTTGTTCACGTTTCGAACTACCTTCAGAGTTTGCTAAAGGATTGTACAATATCGCTAATACTAAATTGGAATGCAAAATCGGGAGATTCACAGATTAAGGATAAACAATTCCAGAAGGGCCTGGCATTAGTAATCGCCAGCCATATTAGGATGGGCTTTCTCGCCTACCACACCCCAGTCAATGATTCTGTACGCGAAAAGGGCACCCGTTGGCAGCATCAAACTGGCCAATTCACCACGTTGATCGCGTTACCCATCAACAAAAAAACCCATTCTGAAACCTATCATTTCATCCCTACTTTTTCTCCTGTTTTTTCCAAATGCGGCCTTCACACGGCCAAACTCGTGTGCCGATCACCTGTAGTCTCGACCAGCCCCGTCATCACGTGAAAAAATCGACATAATACTCAAAGTAAAAGTCTGCCATTACCACAGACAACGGCTTACAATCTCTAGTCGAATGCCGTCCATAAATGATTGTTTTATCGTCTCGGAGTGCAAACGGTAAGAAAGACCCAAACCCCAAATGATTTTCCACGCAGCGAGGTGTCATGGACGAGCGACCTTTAATTTGAACTTAAGATTCGGAATCGTTGAAAATAGCAGGGCACTCAATTCACAAAGCCCCAGCCAAAATCGATTGCTGGCGGGACCGTGATCGACGGTGGGTGCGTCACGTCGCCTCATGACGCTGAGCCCTGTACGAAGGCAACCGATGTGGATGAGCCCCAAAGTATTGAGTTGGTTCACCGCAAATGCTCGAGGAATGTCCCGACGGGCCCTCCGCCGGAACAGGTCTTCCCGTCCACGTGCCATTGAAGAATTTAAGAATGAAACTAGATACATTGTGAGGAAAAGCAAAAGACAAACAATTGAAGGAACAATGAAGGCAAACAAACAAACAAAAAATCAAACAAGTAATATCCAAACGGCTCTTGGGTATCGCTCTTTCTGTTTCGGAGCCTTCTGCGTGGGTTCCGAGGTGGCAGGTGGCGAGTTTGAAATTCAGAATACACGGAGGAAGTTCCAACGTATTTCTAGGATTCGGATTTTCTGAATCAAAGCGACACTAGGACCAATCGGATTGGACCATTTGTACTATGGGGGTTATTTTGCGTAATTTATACATATAAATATGTAAATATGTATGTGTGTGTCACAGAAGTGTAATCAAAAGTTGTGGCTGATAAGATAGATTATCAGTAGGATGGGTATCATTCATTCATCTTTGTGTTTTTTTTTTTTTTTAGAAGTAATTGTTTCAAAAGTAGATTTTATCCAAGTTTAAAAGGTTTGTAGAATGTGAAAAACCATGTTCTTGTGTTGTCATGTGAGCATGAAATTGTGTACTACCTTAATTAGCCTCCTGAAACAAGTGTGTGTATGTATAGGTAAACTATGAATGATTTTTGTGTGTAGGAATGTGGGTTCAAAGATCTCCTCACTTTTATTCAAATGGTTTTCTTATGCAACTTGGTACCCTTGGTTATTGGTTTCAGTAAATGAGCATTGTGATACACTCATTCTACATTCACTGGGTTTTTGATGGAGTGGAGGTTGAATCTCTGTTAATAATATTGCTACATTTTAATTGAGTAGATGAATGGGAGATAGAGAGCATTTAGTGTTAACTTTCATGCGGAAATGTTTCTTCATTAAACAATAATAGTATATATTTTTATGAATGCTGTAAACCAAGTTGAGCAAATTTATATGAATATCAGACATTTTGCTTAAAATGTGTAAATGGAAACACCATACTTATCCCCATGACTTGTCCCCCAGACAAAGACTTCTCAATCACTGAAGTGGAGATGGATGTGAGACTTTATCTCTTGTGAGCACGTGTCTTGGAACCCATTTGCAAAAACCTTATTTACATACACAGATATGCAGTACTTTGAACTTTAATTGTTCTTGCTGTCAAGATCAATCTTCTAGCTGTCCATGTCCCCACTCTCTCACATGCAATCCATCCAACAAAACAAAAAATGTTGTGGGATTTCCAGACTTGAATTTGCACATTCCCCAAATTGGGAACCTCACCTCAGATGTAAATGCCAAACAATCTTTGACTTGAGTTTGTTTCAATGGCATGGGAGCTTTCATTGGATGCTAAATCTGTGCACCATTTACTGTCAAGAAAAAGCTGCTCCATCCAGCATGAGAGGATGCACAGATGTAATAATGGGAACAAATAGTTATTTTCACCATCTATTTTAGAAAACTGCATAATAACATTTTCAGAATATAAGGTCACCCTTTCAGATCACTCTTTTCATCAGTTCAATTCTCACCCATATGAACCAATTGACAAAAGTATGCACACATTTAACATTCCAGGCCCCACACCCCAACTATTTTTGGTATTTTGAATCCATCATAAAATACAAATACTTTCATGCAGCATTGAGTCTACAGAAATGTGTATTCGAGAGGGAACTTAGGGGCCTTACATATTACTTGGAAGAGAAGGCTCCTAAAACAGGAGCTGTATCAGAAGGGAGAGAGAGTGAGAGGATGAGAAGTTACGCCCTAGTGGAAGACAGCCCATGTTACCTACACATGCTGCAATTCCAGAGCTGCACATGCTTGGAAAGGAGCCTGGGCACACTGTCAGTCTGGGAAGCTCTGAACACCCTTTCTTGCTGCAAAACTCCGATACCTGAGTGAGCTCCCCACCGGCACCGAGACCTTGAGGAGTTCAGCATAGCTACCATCCCCACCACCCCCACCATCTTTGGCTACCTTGCTCGACCCACAGGCCAACGAGCTCCAGCGTCTTTACGGCACCGAAGTTACCAGCCGAATGTGTGCTTCACTCCCTAATATTCCTTTACTTTTTTAAGCTTATCTTACCCCTGCTTTCCCCCTCGGTTGTCCGTTGGTGTCGTTTGGTGATGATCTGTGACTCACCGCTGGGTTTTGCTGTAAGGCTTCAATCCTGAGTACGTGACTCCTTCCGGCAGTGCTCGTGTTGGTACTCTGGAGGTTGATAGATGTCGTGGTTGAGGTCGCACATTGGAAAGTGGCGGTGGGGTGATTAGGCTAGAGGGTTGAGGGAGTTAAGAGGGCCTGTAGTTTTTGGTTTTTACGCTGAGCCGCGGTAAAGGGGGGTGCCGCTGGTGGTGGAGGAAGAGGAGAAGGAGGATGAGATGCAGGAGCTTTGATTGTATGCGCTGATTCCGGCGTCGCATACGTCAGTGTTGTGGACACAATTTTGTTCTCGAGTGCTTTCGTTTGTAAAACCCTTTTCATTAACTACTTTGGCTCTTAACCTGCCTTGCAACCAACGTGTGAGCGAAGTTGTGGAGTGAGGGCGTGCGTCTCCATAGCTTGGTGCCGTAGGTTGTGGTCTTCCAGTTTGCAGCGCTTTCTTATGCCTGCTCTCTCTCTCTCTCTCTCTCTCTTATGAAACGCCTGCGCTGAGAACGTTGTTGTAAGATTTGGCGTTTGTCCTGGATCGACGACTTCCCAACCCACCCGGAATGTGGGTCGGCATCACCGCGGCATTTTTCTATCTTCGTCTACAAGGTGACTCAGCTGCAATACGAGTCTCGAATAATCTTCCGCCCTCTCCCTTTCTCTCACTCTCTTCCATTTTTCGTATTTTACTTGTTGCTCGTTTCTTTTAATGTGAACTGCTGGGCATTAGGGGTGCACGAGCTTCTCAAGAATCGATGCTTCGTCCTTCTGGAAAGCTTCACTTTGGTGATTATCCTTTCGACATTACTGCATAGTCAGCTCGTGTGCGCGTCTCGAGTCGTCTTGTTAACTTTCTTCGTTTGCTTCCTACAGGTGACGCTCTTCTCCGATTTCGAAGGATGCTGCAGAACATGTCTTTGCTACGTTGAGCTACTATGGATCGGTCTTGTTGCCAGGCTCTCGTGGATCAACATTTAGCGGAAGCTTGCTGGTTACGTTGTCAGGATTCAGGCCACTGTCGCTATTCATCGAGGACACAGGAAAACGCCTTAAAAGCACTGCAACTCGTTCTCCAGAATTTGCTTGGGATTTCCGACTTTAAAGTTCGTAATCATTGATCATGTGTCCCCAAGTCTGAGTTTCATAGGTTCACAGTTCCTCCAAGATTGGACTACTGCGTTAGAATATGTTCCGGAGTAGGTCTGGTCTCTGCTCATTTTCGAGCTTTTTGTCACGCACGGGAATCGAAGGACCAGCATGGCTCAACGTGAGATGCAGCTGCTAGTCAGTGCATGATTCCACGATGTCCACTGTTGTCCGAAGTCGTGGGAGTCGCAAAGAGCGGGGCGAGAAGGGTTAGACTACTTTCATTACAACGCTCACCAGGAATCCATTGACCCACTCGGGAGACGGGCTGGGATGGCGACTCTCACGCCAGGAGTCTTGATCAAGCTACTACAACACATAAATTCTGACGTGAAGGCAACAGGTGAGCACCGATCAGCGCTACTGCAAGTGATAAGCATCGTCCCTGCTCTCGCTAACGGTGATCTCTGGCCCAACCATGGCTTCTACATCAAAGTTTCAGACTCCTCTCATGCGACGTATGTCTCTCTCGCGGAGGAGCACGACGACCTAATTCTTAGTGACAAGCTGCAACTGGGGCAATTCATTCACATAGACAGACTTGAGGCTGGCTCTCCAGTGCCGTTGTTGAGAGGAGTGCGTCCTCTTCCTGGCAGGCATCAGTGTGTAGGCAGTCCTGAGGACTTGGTTGCCACCGTCGTTCCATCTGCACAAAGTGACACTCGTAATGGGAGGACCAGCCGTCCTTCATCACCAGATGAGCCTACGACCCCCAAGAAGTCTTCTTGTATCAGGTCATCCTCCGACCGGGACCGATATTCACTTAACTCCAGCAGCTTTCAAGTGCAGTACGAGGAGATGACGATTTCTCCTGACAGGTCCTCCACAGCAGCTAGGAAATTTGACTCCGAACTTGCACAGCGTCTCGCTCGTAGCGACGCCTCAAGGGATTCAACAGCCAAGGAGAATGGATTCGTTGGATCACCCGTGGTGAAGACTGGAGATACTCCGAGATCCCAGTCTCGACCCAAAGGTCGCGTGGTGAAGTCTAGAATTTTCGCCGATTCTGCTCCAAGTACTCCATCTCCCGTCTTGTTCACTGATCAGAAAATTCCATTAAGCCCTAAACCAGCGAGTGGAGTGCGAAACAGCCGAGTTCCGTGTCCGGAAGACCGGAAAATTCCTTACAGGGAGACTCCTCCCGTGACCGTCGCAATTAGGTCGAAATCTCCTGTAATTAGAAGATCTCTCAGCGCAGGAAAGGGAATGGCGAAATCAAGCTTAGCAGATGTAACCAAGAGACGTTCTCTAGGAGGATCACTCAACAGCGCGACATCTCTTACAGGAACTAAACCCGCTCCAAGAAAGAGCTGGGAGGGAGCTGTGAAAGATAAAGCACCTCCTAAAGAAGCCAACATCAATCGCAACAAAATCTCGGTGATCATCTTGAAACGGTTCTGTGTGCACTGTCCTAGGATTTCATGTGCGCTTCTGCCAATTCTACATTAGAGTGCTCGTAATTTGGAAGAGACGCTCATACTAAGGTCTTGTTTTTGCGGAGCAGGGTACCGTGAGGAGACTGAGCGACAGCACCCGGAGTGCAGCGTTGCCCAAGTTTCAGACGCAGGACAAGATTGTGCCATCGGTTAAGCCAGCACCTGTACCGACAAGAAGTAGTGTAACGAGTCTAAGTAGTTCTAAGGATTCTAGTGTCCCCCCAGCGAAGAGGTTAGCCTCGGCTGTGGATTCCTCTGTGACGCAGAAGGAAGTGGTTCTCAACAAGCGTTGGACCGATGGGAGCGTCTCTTGGGATTCGCTTCCAGCATCTTTAGCGACTCTGGGCAAGGTAACTGAGAGCACGTCATTTACGAACCAGCGGAATTACATTTTTGTGCTTGTCACTCATCTTAGAATCTTTCACACATCTTGAGGACTCTAAAGACGGTTTTCATTATTTTGCAGGACGTTTTGCAAACGCGTGATGTAGCTTCAGCGGCTGCCGCTCAAGCTCTTCAGGAAGCGTCAGCGGCAGAATGCGTCGTTCGAAGCTTAAGGTAAGCCTTCAACTAATGTTTCTGAAGGTTCTCGAATTTCTCATTGCTTCTGAACTTTCAGTAGACCAATTCTCACACTTTCTTGCCTGTACAGTATGTTTGCGGAAATTTGCACCACAGCAAGGACGGACTCCCCTCAGTCGACGGTGGAGCAGTTTTTGAGCCTTCACCGCACACTCTCAGACGCCATAACCGTCGTCGAATCACTCGCTGCAATCCGTGGCGGATACACATCCTCCCGCGACGACATTAAAGAAGGAATTTCACCACCAGCTCATACTGCCACATCACAGGGCTACCAGGCCGCTGCGACCTGGATCAACACCGCGCTTGCCTGCGATCTGGCCGCCTTTTCCCTCCTATCGAAACAAGATCGCCAAGTCTCCACCCCAACCAGTCTCCGCCAAGCGCCTACTCAACAACAACTCACAGTCGTTGTCGACGCGCCCCTTGGCGGCGGCCTCAAGCTCGCTACCACGGCTCCTCCCGCAGCCATAGCCATGTTCGCAAGGACCACAAACGCATCCCGGCCGGCCTTGTCCTCCCAAACCGAGACCTCTAACCTTAAGTTCAAAACCTCAAAACCTTCAAGCATCACTCCGCAATCTCCAGCAAAGCTGACCCCTGCCGCCTCCCCGGCAAAGCGCTCCTCTAAAGTCGCCCCGCTTCGCAACCTTCCAAAAGCCACGAAGGAATCGCCCGCCCCAACAGCTTCGTTGGAAAGAGCTTCTCGTCTGCAGCAGATGGTGGAGCTAGGGAAGCAAGTGCAAATCGAGGCACAGAGATGGTTTCTGCAATTCATGGAGGGAGCTCTCGACAGCGGCTTTCGAATTTCGACGCTGGGCGGCAAGGGAGAAGAGAACGGGTTCGTGAGCCAGGCCGAGAACTGTCAGATTGCCTCCGTGTTGTCGCAATTGAAGCATGTGAACGACTGGTTGGATGGAGTGAGGGAGGAATTCGAGGAGCGCGTTGTAGAGACGAAGAATAGGTTGAAGCGCAAGATTTACGAATTTTTGTTGCAGCATGTCGAGTCCGCGGCGTCAGCCTTGGGCAACGTCGCGTCGGTGAAGGTGTTAGCGAAGGCCCCCCCTGCTGTGAAGGCGCGATGATGCTGTATAGCTGGTAACGTTAGAAGGTGTCTTTGTACATGTTGGGGACGTTCCCTGAAGAATTTTTTTTCGTGTGACGCTCATAGTTGCCTTCTGATTTTAGACCTTTTCTATTTTTTTTAAAATTTATTTTTTTAATTTTAATTTTTAGTATTTGTGATGGACGGCATTTATTTCAATCAACATTGCGCAGAGGTGTGGGGTACTCATTTTTTTCAGCCTGATATTATGTCGGACAAGTGTGAAGAAAAAAAAGGGAATGTTGGTAACAATCGTCATATGAATGTTACAAGACATTTCATTTATGCCCAGTACTTCAGCTTCACTGTGGATGCAACATCCAACTTGACTTGGACATATTTGTACGCTTGTTCTTTCAACAATTAATCGATTAATTAATATGACGCTTCTCAAGTACATAATACCATTTGGTCGAGTACCAAATTTCAGGAGGATTTTTAAGGGAAAGGCAAATAAATCCATGTCCTTATTAAAACAAGGAAGGAAAACTGTGCTCGTAATGAAAAAGTGACTGTTTGTGAAGCTTTGGTTCATAATTTACGTAGTAGAACATGTACTTTGATCATATTCCTTCACATGTGAGTCCAAATTAGAGACAAATTATACCACAATACAATGTATTTTAATGTGCTTGTATGCAAAGTAAACTTTCAAGTTATCTATAAAAAGTAAAAGTTTGCAAACATGCAAAATTAAATTCAAATTGGATATGGAAGAGATTTACAGATTTGAAAATAAATTATTTAACACAAGATGTATTTATTGGAGAAATTGAATGACTTTGGTGACTTGTCTCTCATTCCTACATTAGTACAATAAATCCATGTCTGAAGCTAAATGTCTAGGGTTGTGTAGACTGTAGTTAGTGGGATGGTTAGAGATAGTTATTAGGCATATGTACTTAACCTACAACAAAGTTCATCTAAGGACTTTAATATTAGTGGTTTAAAGTTTTAATTAAGCTTTGTACGTAGACTCTACAATGAATATATTTTCTCTTGGTTCATATAATGTCATACAATTAATTCATGCTAATTGAGCATAGTAAAAGCAATTTGTTTTTTTATGGTATTAGAGTTAGTTCTTCTTTCTGTTGTCATGCAAGAAAGTAGCAGAATATATAAAAATACTGTTTAATTTTATGAATGTTTTGATTGTAATTAAAAATAAAATAGAATAAAAATAAAAATAAAAATAATAAAATATTTGTCTAATTTGTTTAAGTTTGTAATTTAAGTTTTGTAATCAAAGATAGAAGATGTAGGATTTATTAGTAAGAAGTTTAGAGGGATTTTGGAGTCAAAAGTATAATGTTTTGACTCCTAGGCCATTCCATGTGAGTGGATAAGATGAATGGTAGAAGACTTCATTTTTATTGGTTGAAAGTCATGTCCAATGGACTTCAAGATGTTATTCAACACCACACTAGATTTTGAGACCACTTTAAGGCGATCCATTCAACGCTGTCGTATTATGTGTTGTCTTGCTTAGAAATGCACCGGGCACCTAGCTGTGGAAGGTGAGATTGTGTTTCACAAGTAGCTAAGAAATCCTAATAGGTTTTGCCCATACGAGAAGAATATAATCTGAATTTCAATTCAAAAGTGCTAAAAACACTCTTCTTAGTAGTCTTAACCATACATAAATCCCATTTACCTTGTTACTTTCATAATTAAGCAATTTAGATTTTTCTTGTAAGCCCCAATTCTAATCAATAAGCTTTAACAAGCTGTAACATCCAATCTGACTGTCCACTTGATGTGGAATTTTTCATGCAATTGTCAATATAAGTCTTCTATATGCTCAAGAATTTTTAGTCCAATCCAACTTATAGATTGTGAAAAAACCTCCAAAAATTGCACTGATGTCACTTAGCCGCCAACTTGAAAAGTGAAGCAAAAATCCTAGTAGTGATTTCTCCCTTTTCAACCGTTAACTTTGTCTCAAAATTGGTGTGTAGCTTGATCTTTAAGTATTTCAACACCATGCCAATTTTCACCTTAATCTGACTGATAGATCTTCAGATATCATAGAAACCCTACCCAACTTCAAACTGCCACCTTCCGAAACCCTCTTGTGCTAAAAACTAGATATCTCTAAACCACGCCATTAGATTATCACAAAATTTTGTATACACTTAGCATACCTAATAATCCAAACAAGATCAAATTTTCAACTATAGATGTTATACCAATTGCACGAACTAGCCAAAATTGCTAGCCCTAATTATATTATATAAAACCCAAATCATTGATACAAACCTTGACTTCAAACAACAATTGCTAAGTCCTCAAAAACCCTCCAAAACCAATCCTTATGCCTCTGGTAAGAACTTCAAGCTTACTCTCGAATCCTATATTTCGATCTTCGAATGAATCCCTATTTTGCCCTTGGCCATCGTTTTTGTGGCTAGAGGTCTGATTTCAATCCTGTTACACAAACGGCCAACCCTTGGGTAACAATCTAACCTATCCTAAGGAATTTTTAGCCCAATCCTACTCTCAACTTAACCCTAGTACCAACTATACTAATTATTTACCTCTTCTAACTTGATTTTATCAATTTATGGTCTTTCTAAAGTAGTAGAAGAGTCTCTACAACCTAAAAGCTAAAATTACTAACTAACTTTCAACTTACTAACTATTAAGATAAGAAAATAATCTAAGAGGCTTTTATAAAAGCTATGTTTAGATACCTCAAATTATAATTGAACTAAGATAATTAGATATTAATTAAAAGTTTAATATTAATTATAATTTCACTATATAGTCGTATTACATCACGACAATGCAAAGTCATGCATTCAAAGTTTGGGAGTTGGATTCAAAAAGTGTGTGTTTTGGACTAGAATTTGGATGAAAAAAAATGTGTGATTTGGATTTGTAAAAAGAAAGTTATGGTTTTTTGAAGTTAGGATGTGATTTTGGCACCTAATATTATTCTTTAAGGCATATAGAAAATTATAGGAAAGCTTTAAAGAATCAAAAAATAAAGTTATAAAGCAAACTGAAAGAACTACATTTTCTTTAGTTTTTTTTTTTTTTGTTTTTTTTTTTTTTATATATATATATATATATATATATTCCAATCTAGAATAAAAGAGAAAGAGCTATTGGAAGTTAGTATTTAAAACTAGAGTTTGTAAGTGAGTTATTTTTAAGAGAGGTTTTGGATTTTGTCATATTTTGAGTTTTGGGATGAAGTTTTGGCTCAAAATTTCTACAAATGTAGGTGACTATGTTAAGAAGTTGCATATAAAAAATTTGTAGTATTTGAATATTGGATTTTTGAGATATGAAGGAATTAGTGCCTAAAAATTGACATGTTTAGTACTTACTAGAGATTAGGCAATATCCAAAGACTTGTAATGAATTTATAGTTGAATTTTTGTATGAAAGTAGTCAATGATATAATTTAACTTGTGGATAATTTTGAATCTAACTAGATGGTTAGATTAGAAGTTATTGAGTGATATACATATAGAAGAAATTTCCATAAGAATGGAAGTGATTTTAAGATATCTAGTCATATTATAGGTACTCTTGTACATCTTAGAATTGTATATTTGATGTAATTGTCTTCTTAAAGAGAAGCTATAATTCATATTTATTTTTATTATCTTGCAACTCATTTGAGCAATTAGTAGCAATTAGAGGCCCAATGCTTTCTTGAGGAAATTCTTTCTACTAAGACACTGCCTAAAACTTTATTTTTCATTGTGCAATTATTCTTCATATTACTTTGACAAGATTATATATTTGAGTCTTATTAAACTTTATATTCTTTACAATCATATCAAATGAATTTCAAGAAATATGGATTTTTTGAAAGCAACAAGCTTGTAGGTTTTATTAGTTATCCTATATTAACTTTCTAAGTGATACAAATTATAAAAGCCAACAAAAAGTAGAAATCCTATGAAGATGTTCTTAAGACTTTTGGTTTATCAATAATGGCATTAAAGCCTATATGTTCAAGTTTAAAGATTTGATGATTGATTTGTCTAAGCTTAATAATATCAATGATGACAATATAATAATTAAGATTATGATATGTGACATTTGTAGATCTTAGAATAATTTTGAAAGCAATTTTTGCACTCAACACAATATTAATTCAAAAATGTCTTATTTTGATTATGAAATATATATGACAACAAAAGCATACAATCACATAGTGAAAAATTCATATGAGAAGACAATAGTATCACTAACATACATATTTACTATAATAATTATCTAGATAATATGAATAGATAGAAGTAGGTTAAAATAGATTGATTTAATAATATCTTTTAGAAAATCTTTTTAAAAGCTTTATAGATACGATTTCACTTTTATACATATTTAAAGGTGATTAATAGGTTGAATACTTGGCCAACAAGTTGGCTACATATTGTATATGTTGATAGCTTGTGATACAAATTAATCATATGGTGCTTGTATAGAAAACTTGCCTTATAAGTCAAGACATATGTCTTACAAATTAAATACATGTCGAATGTCCTATAAAACATCGCCATGTAATTCTTAATTAGATGATATATATAGAAACAAGAGTCTATTTTATTTTATATTGGTCAATTCTTTCTTTGAAAAAAGTCTCACTTTTTTATTTGCTTTCATTGAATTCTTCTTCTTTATAAATTGACAAGAATGCATTTATAATATTAGAGCTTTGTCTTTTCTTGATTAAGAGTGGATTACCTCTTTCTCTTGATAAGACATAAACATATTGGAAATTATAAATTATCTTTTTTTAAACTGATATTGTTCTTAGCAATTTCTTTGTTCTCAAGTCTTTTCTTCTATTTTTTTTGACTAATGTTATCTATATATATATATATATATATTATCATAGAAAAAATTATTGAAATAAAAAGTGTAATGGCGTAAATACAAGAACAATTGAAGAAATTCATATTTGTAATGCATCAATGTAATTTATTACAATAAAGAACAATAAGATTGACAAGAAATAAAAATATAGAGATGAATGGAGTTGCTTCAACATTTGTACCAAATCATATTACTTCTCCTATAGTGGAATACTATTCTAATGTTAAAAAACTAAGAGTTATCTTGCCCAAGATTTTTAATGGTATAAGATCAAAGTTTTAAAGATTCATCAATCAAGTACAATTGGTGATTGAACTTCAACTCTAAACCTATCCAATTTTAGGATCTCTAGTCAAATTTATTGAAACACTACTTTTAAGTTCTATATTATCATGATTTTCATCTTTTTTTGAACAATAAGATCTAATATTGGATAACTTAGAGGCCTTTTAGGT